GTAGGGGGGGGGGGGGGGGGTCGCTTCGCATGAAAAGTCATGTGCCCATAAAATGTGCGATAAAGATAAAGTAGAATAAATAATTAAAAAAATAGGTAGACTATATATTTTTCGACCTCCGACTTATTATCACTATTTGAGTCATGATAAAGATTATGGTATTATCATCACTGTAGCTGAAAAAAATGTCGAAATTTGGAAAAAGTCCTTTTCAGCATAATTATCATTGTTTCTTTATTATGTTCTAATGTAATGATAAAATAATACTTGGAAAGTAAGTTCTCAAAATTGGAGATAAAAACAAAAAAAGTTTTGATAGTACGATACATAACAGCACGTTTATTTGCTGCGCTGTAAACCTTAATAAAAAAAAATATGAAATACTATCAACTTGCTATATTGTTAATTGCTGCGTATTTGATAGATGATGATTTCGTTTTTTTACAATATAAGTTGCTGATAAGTTACTGCCTAAAGTTATCATATTGTGAAAACATCAATTTATCAACAAATACAGTCTCAGTTGCTATAATTTTGACAGCAACACATGCTAGGATTTGTGAGCAACATGCCAGCTGTAATACAGATACATTCTTATAGGAATAGTTTTACAAGAGTTTGATTGGAGAATTGAACGCTACGAGTGAAGGAGAACTCATATGTTACATTTATATATACATTACTATAATCCATATTTACATTACATTTGTATTTGATGACTAGCATCGTTTTGTAATCACGGCTTTTATTGCAGATGTCCTGACAGTGGGCCCCGGGCCACCAGGATGCCGACAGACGACGACTATGGCCGAAGAGATCGTCTCCTGTTGCACCAGCACCCGATCGCACAATACGGATCCTCATCAACCCCGCTTTCCGGATCGAGCACGCCGAGTTCCGGCGGCGTGGGGACTCAGATTGGTTCCAACAATTTCGGTGATTGCTTTAAGCAGCAAATACAGCAACAATCGTCTGACTTGCGTTCGGTTACGAGTACAGCAAGCCAATCGGGTCAAGAACGTCACCAGTCGGACCAACAGACCCAAAGCAACGAGCATGTCGGGGCCCGAATGGTTGATCGACACGAGAAATCCGTGGAGAAGCCTACAATTGATTTCTCCAAGTGCGGAGAGAGTCGTCCGTCGAGTTGTGAGCGCTTTGGACATTATCAGACCCAAAGCGGCGAACATGTGGGAGGATGGATGGGGGTTGACCGACACGAGAAGACGGTGGATAAGTCTTGTATTGATTACTCAAAGTGTGGAGAGGATCGTCAGCCGAGTTGTGAACGTTTCGGACATTATCAGGCTCAAAGCGGCGAGCACGTGGGGAATCGAATGGGGGGCGAGCGGCACGAGAAATCATCTGATAAATTGTCGGTCGATTTTACCAAGTGCACCGCCGATGGTCGACAGTCGAGTTGCGAACGTTTCGGACATTATCAGACTTCGACATTTGGTCAGTCCTCGTTGCAGGGACACTATGGCGGTGCACACGCAAGTGCTGATCGTTTCACGCGATTCAACGATGTCAGCACGTTACACGGCGAACAACGGGCCTCGAACGATCGTTATTCGGTCTGCAACCCGGAGTTGCGCTTTGACACAAGTACAAGCGGGTCCAGCGAGTATGCGAACACGAATGCGCTCACGAGCTCTTTCGTTTCGGAGACGTTCCCATCGCCGCCGTCCCCAGCACCGGCGAACGACCGCTTCGTCCCACCACCACCATTGTCACCCAGTCCGAGCGAGAAGTACGCCTCGAGCCAGAGCTTGGCTGGTTACCCTTCTGCTGATCGCATTTTGCCCCCCAATTCTCCGGGGCCCAAGTATGGTGCCGACAATGCCGCTACAGCATCGTCGATGCCCACCAAGGAGCGCTTTGCTTCCGCCGAACGGCTGCTGGCCAATCAGCAGTCAGATACAAGCGACGCTAAGGATCAACAACGCTACGCTGGACCACCTGATCGTCTGCTCTCGGGATCCTCTCCGATCCTGGGAGGACTTCAGGCTGGACTCCAGGGCAGCGCGGTCTACGCTAAAGATACTCGCTACGCCGCCATTTCCGCTGATAGGATATTATCCTCCTCGCCAATACACGCTCCGGTGCCTGAAAGATTTGTTGACAAATCGGAAAGGTATTTGGGTGAGTCACCCATTCACGATAGGTATCCACGACAAGACCCACCAGCACATCACGAACGGTATTCGGCGATGGCGACGACCACTGAGAGGTAAGTTGAAGTCAACTTAAGTTGATTCTGAGCAATAATTTTGCGGATTTGTGAATTACTGCAGTAATCAATTGTGTATTTAGATATTGGATTCATATTATGTACGTATATTTAATGTCGAACAATTATTGGATTTGCTACATAATTCACAATGAATTATAAATTGTGCTCGGTTCCGAAATGTACTTCATGTCTCTTCCATTTGAAATGTCTGCAGGTTCCTCTCGAATTCGCCTAATCCTGAGAGCGCGCATCAGCGCTATTCATCGTCAGACCGCTCATCACTTCAGACTTCCTCGAGCAATACTGAGCAAAATCGACGCCTCTACACCGACAGAGGAGTCGAGACGGTTTGCCAGAAGTATACTGATCGATCCATTGGCTCTCCAGCGTCTACTGACTTCGGTCGATACTCAGGTTTCTCGGAAGTTGGCAGTCAGACGCGATACGTGTCCAGTAACGATCGTTTTAACGATCTCGCTCTACAGCGTTGCAGTCAATCGCGATCGATTGATAGGTTCTCTAGTGATCGATACCTGGCTGGATCATCACCCGCACACGACGGCAGGCTATCCAATGCCGAGACGCCGCGATACATCGTTTCCTCTACTGAACGTCTGTTGGCACCGACATCTTCTTCGTCGTCCTCCTCGTCAGAGACCGATAAGTGTGCGTTTTGCTTTAGTTGAGCTAAAAATAGAAAATGTGCTTTGCGCATCTTGATTTATTTTTTGTTCTACTAATATTTGGATTCTTAGTTTTGTGAATTATTGATATTTGATCACTTAAATATTCTCAAGAACTCTAGTTATTCTTCAAATTTTAAAACTTTTACTCTTCACACAAAAACTTAGTAAACCACAGAAATACCATAGTATATTCCGTAAAAACTTGGTACCATAGTAATATTACAATACACTGTTGAAGTTTTTTCAAGGATAATAAACAGATAAATTAAAAAAATTAAAAAGACATCAATTATATACTAGTATATGTATGTTTGTACAGTTTCTACGTTTGGCTTGAAATTTCTATGTTTCAATAAACTTTCATTCTCAATTTTAAATATTATCAGTATCATTTTCCATTCGAAACTTAGGCTCCAGGCCCTATCATTCGCCCTATACAACGACCACCGGCACTCAATCTTCGGCCTCCAATGAGCGCTTTGCGTCAATTTCGCCAACGTCGGAAGCGTCGAACGTCCACCGCAGCGGCAATGGCGGTTATCAGAATACGAAGAGTACCGTTGACAAATATTTGGTCTCGAAGTCGGTTCAGAGCAACTATGATCGCTACTCGGTCGGCAGTCAGAATGATCACCAGTTTGGCCAAGATCGATACTTTACTACAGGCAGTAGTGGCGACCGATTTCAGACTTCTTCCGGAACTGATCGTTTTCACACTCCTGCTGATCGCTATTCGCCAGCACGCAGCGTCACGGACAAGTACCTGTCCCTGCCGAAGCCTAAGGACAGGTTCACCGGCCGCATAACACCCATATCTTGTACCACCGTCGCGACGTCCTCTACCGATCGCACTTACGGCTCGTCTAACGTGAGCTACGTACCCCCAACTGCGCACACCCCAGTTGAACGTTACGTGCCCCAACCGCCTCCCGAAGTGCTCTATCCGGATAGGTAAGAATTGGATAGGCAACATGATAAGGGATCGCTATATATATGTATAACCTTAAAAATATATCTTAGAATTAGAAATTCTATTTTTTCTTTTTTAAAAGAATTATATTGATGATCTTACTATGACAATTTTAACAATAAGAAAAATAAAATTAATTTTAGAAATTTTCAGTCACTCTCTCCTTTCTCAATAAAACTGTAGTTATTTATTTGGTTTTCTCTAACTGCATTATAAAAGATGTTATGCAACTTAATTTTTGAAAACTTACATATATTATAAATAAATTATAAATTAAGTTATATATAATAATAATTTTGCGATATCGATATTAAAAATTATTCAATCAATTATTTTAATGTATTTTAATATAACCTACAATTTACATCATTTTATTTTCTAAAAACGGTTTATTTTCTATTAAAAATTTTTCACGTCTTGTCCTAAACTTCTGTCCATTTCCATTTGAGTGAAACCTGAAAGCCTATTTTCTATGATTGTTCAGATATGTAGATAGATATGTGCCGCCTGCAGCGCATACACCAACCGATCGATATGTACCCGCGAGCGATCCAGGGGATCCATACATGCGTCGCGACCTTGGCTTTCATCACCATTATCGGCTACCGCCGCCCTCCGGTTATCCGTATCAGACGCATTTCCGGTTCCGTGGATTTGCATACGCGACGTCCAGTCGGTTGGGCGGCAGTCCTGGGTCCAGCAGCTCCAGCAGCACGACGTCTAATCAGCGCGAGACGTTCGCCACGTCGCCATTGCTGAGACCCAAAGTGCGTGCTTCCGCAATCGAATTTGGTGCAGCTACAGGTGCTGCCGGCACCGTCGGCACCGCCGGCACTACGACGATCACAACAACCGCTAACATCGGTGTCGGCCGTCACGTGTGCACGAATCCAGCCGCCTGTTGCGGAGACGTATCCACCAATGGCAGAGCCTGCTGCCAGATGAGGAGGTCTTTGCCACCTGGAACACTACCAGCGATACCTACGCAGACTTCTTCATGGTGAGTACTTGCACGAGCATTATGAATTCCAGAGACCGTTCAACGAGATTCGAGAATATTTGAAGTTGAATCCAAATGCGTTTTATGAGATCTAGGATTATAATTACGTAAAGAACATTCAGAATGTGACTAAGACTATATACGTGCATTAAAATGAGAGGATGATGTTTTCTATTCGAATGAGTTAAGTAATTTAATCTAATTTAATTTATTGTGTATTAATAGAAATACACTGATTAAAATAGGCAAGAAACGGAATAAATACACCATTGGTGAGCATAAAGTACCAGCAGTACTGTTGCTGTAACGTTCATCAGAGAATGAAATACAGATACGATAATACGAGGTCTGGCTATTAAATAATGAGACTGCCTATGAAAAAGAGTTTTATTTTAAAAATTATTCTACAATTGAATGCTCCCCTTCAATGTACTCCCCTCTCCTCGCTACACACCGTTCCATTCGTTTTTTCCATTGGTCAAAGCAATGCTGGAAGTCTTCTTTTGTAAGAGCATTTAGGAGCTCCGCCGATTTTCGCTTCACCTTTTCCATCGACTCGAACCGGGTTCCTTTTAAGGCAGACTTGATCTTCGGAAACAGGAAAAAGTCACAGGGTGCTAAATCAGGCGAGTACGGCGCGTATTCGAGCACTGGAGTGCCTCAAGCGGCTAAATAACGCTTCACAGACAGCGCGTTATGGGCAGGTGCGTTGTCCTGGTGTAAGATCCACGACTTGTTTTTCCACAACTCCGGCCGTTTCTTACGAACTCGCTCTCGCAGTGTTGCCAAAACTGTCAAATAGTAAGTTTGGTTTACAGTTTGACCCTCTGGAACCCATTCAGTCATCACGATGCCGTTGATGTCGAAAAAAACGATTAGCATGGCTTTAAATTTTGATTTCGACATCCTTGCTTTTTTCATTCTTGGCGATGCAGGAGTTTTCCAGTGCATGGATTGCCGCTTAGTTTCAACATCGTATTGGAATATCCAGGTTTCATCGCAAGTGATGATGTTTTCCATCAATTCAGGCTCTTCATCTAACCTCTCAAGAAAATCTGAGCAGATCTGTTGACGGACGAGCTTTTGGTCAGGGGTCAAATTTTTTGGGACCAACTTCGCACAGACTTTCTTCATGTTTAATTCGTCATGTAAAATTTTTCTGACAGTTTCTTTATCGGCGTTTACAGTCTCAGCAATCATCCGAATGCTCATACGACGATCTCCGCGCACAATTTCATTGATTTTGGTCACTGTTTGCGGAGTTGAAACAGAGACAGGTCGACCTGGACGTTGGTCATCTTCGGTGCTCTCTCGGCCTTCAGAAAACCGTTTATACCATTCGAAAACACGCGCACGAGATAGAGAATTCTCACCATAGGCCTCTTTCAACAACTTATAGCACTCAGTCGGAGTTTTTTTTAATTTAACGAGAAATTTCACATTGATCCGTTGCTCGTGTTTTTCGTCACACATTGTTATCGGCACGAGAAAAAAACAAGTTCGTTTCTAACTTCTATAGAAAAAATACTACTACTGCGACAAAAACGTGTTTTCGTACTGGAATAGTAGAAATTTCCAGCTATCCAACGCTGCATTCGTTTCCCACCCTACTCCTTAGGACGCCTTCTGCGCGCACAGTCTCGTTATTTAATAGCCAGACCTCATATATCAATGAGACAAGTAATATATGATAATAAAACATATACACACAAAATACCAAGACCCTCGAAATATCTCGTAAAATACAATATAAGTTTTATAGAAAACTTTTAGATAAAAGTTGTAGCGTTTAAAAAGATCTATTCTTATTAGTTTAACCTTGAGTCGCATTGTCAAAATCAGGACAAGATCGTCTTAAATTTTTAAAATAAACTTATTTTTATTAAATTACCCTTTATCTAAATTACCCTTTTTTTTTACATATTTATACAGCCATTCTTTTTAACGCACCATAATTTTATCTAATTTAAGTAAGCAGTTTGTAGGCTAAACTATCCTTCTTGCCTTTGTTAGTTGGATCATCTTCCGATTTTGTTTTCGTGGGCTAGATATCTTATCATAAAACGTTTGATTGGTTATTTAAAATGGATAAAATAATGGATATTATAATGCTTTGAAAAGATCTGAAAAAAGACTACAAGAATATGCAATAAGAAATAGGTTCTATTTAAAAAAATTCAAGGTGAACTTGTTCTGACCTTGGCGATGCCACCCAAGGTCAAACTGGTGATATCAATAAATAAATCTTTTTAAATCTTACACTTTTATACTGAAACAATTTTCTATTAAGCTTATATTTTTTTAAATGTTTCAGAGACCATGTACTTTCCTCTTATCTTATATATGTTAAGATATCTGAGCCAAATAAGACCTATCTAATTAAGTTTATTAAAAAAATATTCTATTTATAAAAATATTGGAATAAATTAAATAAAAATCAAATCTTTATTTCATTTACTCATAAAAAAAAAATATACTGTTTATATAAAATATTTGTAAATAAATGAAAAAAAAAATTGTTTAAACTCTGACATTGAAGTTTGACATATGAATATAATAAAGTTCATATAAAAAATAAATTAATAACAAAAAATAAACTACTTTAAATACGAAGCGCCACTACGGTCTGAATGTTAAGATGTTGAACTATTATATATATGTTCATTTAAAAAAATTAATTTCAGAAATGATAATTACGTGCCGATATGATTGTCGGACTTTCAACGCAATTAATCTGAAATATTAATAATCCCCCCAAATTTTTCCAAATCTTAAAAAACTATAATAAACTTATTGTGAAAAATATTGCTTCGGCTGGGAGTCGAACCTGGATCTCTTGCATTCCGTGCGAGCATTCTAAGCCTTTAAACTACCGAGATCTTAGCAATATTTTTCGCAATAATCGATATGTATGGAGAGTTACGTATTGTAGACGAACGTGTATAAACAATATGATTGGAAACAAAATCGTTTATGTTAAATACATTAAAAAAATAAACATTATCTTTCTAAATCAGTTTTAAAATGATTATTAATCATAAAAAGGAAATTTTTTAGGAAAAATTCTTTAGTAAAATTCTTTTACGTTACTTTTAAGCATTACAATTATCTTTAATTTTGTCTGTAATTAACTCTTTAACTTTTGGAAATTTCTATCAATTTGAATACAATTTTAGCTTCTTAAAAGATAGCAATATTGAAAATCATTCTCTGGCCCACACGTAACGAACAAATAACAATAGCTATAATAATAATCACATAAGTGAATCTTATTGAATAAGTACCTACATTGTTAAAAAAAAAATAAAATTTAAATATTAATAGGATTCTCGAAATTAAAAATAATAATAGAGTATATGAGCAATGAAAGTGTTAATATAGCGCAGGAATTGATGCGCAACATAATAGTCAAATAATATTCACATAATATATTAATAATCTACAATGACTGTTAATACAAACTTTTTTGGACGTTTCGGTTTACTTTAAACCATCATAAGTAAAGTTGCGGATAATTTTCACCGACGTCTTGACAATATAATCCGCAAATGTTGAAAATTCGTTATGTTAAAAGTTATGTCAAAAGTCGACAGTCATTGCAGATTATTAATATATTATGTGAATATTATTTTATTATTATATGAATTATACACCAATTCCCGCGTTATATTAACGCTCTCATTGCCCGTATACTCTATTATTATTAAAAAAAAAAAAATACTTATTTAAAAAAATTGATTCGTATTACAAATCAAATTAACCAAGACTCCTTATAATTCAAAAAATTGAAAAGGAGGGATACGAGCAGTAGGGGTAAAGCGTAGAAAACATTCCACAAATAATATATCTAGGAAGTGTGAAATTTTTTTATTCACTAAAACGCGCTTACATGGTTCAGCTCACTTTTGAGCTTTCCTCAGAAACAACACAAACATAAATAAACTGTGAATAAAAATTATCCTATCATGGTGAGCTCCCCTATCTCGAGAATTTGAACGCCAAAAAGAGTGAAAGAAAAAGAAAAAAGAAAAATGAACGAAAAAAAGGAAATAATAGAAATATCGAAATAGAGAATGTGAAAAACTAATTTATCAAAAAGAAGATTATAGTTAATCATCCCGAAAATAAGGACACTTACCTTTATCACAAATCACAAACTATATATAACATTACTATAAATTATTCAAAAATCGATTCTCGATATTTTGGCCAGTCAGTATCAGACACAGTGAGTCACTTTTAATTTTAGCTAGTATTATTGAAGCTTACAAATGAAAAATTTCATTAAAACATTAATCAATTCCATGAAAATGAAAGTTGGAAAATAATCAAAAATCACGCCAGAAAGATTCATTACTGCTTACAAACGACACTGATTGGCTAGACGTCACAACAGCTCAAGCCTTTATAGCTTGTCTATGATCGGGAGGTAGGCCTTGGGAAGCCCCTTCATCTGCAAGTTGAGTCCGTGCGTCTGTCTCCTGATGAATATCATCTCCGAAATCAATTTCTTATGGGAGCTGACCATGATAGGATAATTTTTATTAACAGTTTATTTATGTTAATTTGTGTTGTCTCTGAGGAGGGTTCAAAAGTGAGTTGAAACAAGTAAGCGCGTTTTAGTGAATAAAGAAGTTTCATACTTCATAGATATATTTTTGCGCGACGTCTTCTGCGCTTGACTCCTACTGCCCATATCCTTTCCAGTTCTCTAAAAAAATTGTTAATTAAAATTATAAATTATTTGTTATTTTCCAACTAGGAAATTATATAATACATATATTATAATGTATTATATAATAAACTATGAAATGATATGTACTGGTAAACTTTGCAGCGAATTGTTATAAAAATGGATCATACACACAAGTTTTTTTTGTGTTAAACAAACGTGTTGTAATCGATTTCAATTCTTTAATCTCTTTTTATTTACTTCCTATGACACATCTTTTAAGCATATACTGCAAGCGTAAAGTAAGCGCGCTTTAAAGTAATAAATT